AAGAAGCTTTACGCGCCGGAATTGGCGTGATGGGGGATGTTGAAAACAACACTCCGTTCAGGGAAGCAGTCAAAACGCGGCTCAAGGAATCGGGCGGAAATCTTAAGAGAAAAGCCAAAGAAAATATAAGTAACTTGATGAAGGGCTCGGGTTATAAAACATCCACGAAAATACGACCGGGTCAGTTTCTCTTCGGAGGGCACGACGCACACACCGCTAAATCCGGGAGAAGCGCGGTTCGTAAACGCAGACAAGCCGGTAAAAAAAGAAATCATCGAAAATTGGCGTGAAAAAAACGATTAAAAAAAATCATCGAAGAGGAAAGCGGGCAAAATTAAAAAGGCAACGAAATCGACGAAATAGCGAGAAAAAGCGCACCGTATCCGATATATTCGCTTAACCGACGCACTTTGTAAATTTGAGAGATATGTCCTTTCTTCATACCCACTCGAGCGAGTGTTTAAAGAGCGTGCTCGATCTTTTCAGTTTACCTCCTATTCAAACCAGTATCGAGAATTCGCAATGGGTTTATTACAAACCGGTGACCTCGCTCGCGGACGATGCGCCTATAGAATTCGTCGTACCCGGGCACGGAGAAGATTATCTAGATCTCACGCATACCATGCTAAGCCTTCGCGTACGAGTGGAAAGTTTACCCGGTCCTGGAACATCGACAGCAGGAGGAGGAGGAGGAGTGGGAGGAGGAGGAGGAGCAGGAGGAAACAAAGTAAAAAGGCCCTGTGAATCATCTACTACATTCGATGTTCAATCAGATCGACGTATACTTCAATCAAAAACTCGTATCACCCCCAAACAACGCCTACGCGTACCGTACGTACATCGAAGCATTGTTAAATTATTCTTTACCGGCAAAAACTTCCCATTTGACTTCCTGTCTATGGGACACGGACGAACCCGGTTATATGGACGCGCTATTAGAATCGGACAACCCCAATCAAGCTCTCATGAGACGCGCCCGATACATCCAAGGAGAACGTTCGGTAGATTTAATAGGTCATCTTCATTGCGACGTGTTTAATCAGGATAAATTTTTAATTAACGGAGTGGAGGTTAGAATGAGACTCGTTCGCTCGAGAGATGCGTTTTGCCTCATGGAAAGCAACTCAACGTCGAAAATACGCATTCTAGATACTAGTTTACTCATAAGAAGAGCAAAAATAAGCCCGCAGTGTTACTCGAACATGGGAGAATGCTGAGTAAAACAACCGCCAAGTATCCTCTGACGCGAGTCGAAGTTAAAACATTCACGATTCACGCCGGAGTGGTAGGAGAATCGATTGATAACGCGATACTCGGGCAACTTCCGAAACGAGTAATAGTCGGATTCGTCGATAACAAAGCGTTTAACGGCGACAGAAAGTTAAATCCATTTAATTTCAAAAATTACGGCATAAATTTCTTCTCGCTATATGCCGATGGCGTGCAAATTCCGAGTAGACCGCTGCAACCGAATTTCTCAAAGGCCATCCGCTCTATGTCGAGACTTATAACACCTCTTCTCAGGAACAGGCATCCATTTTCTAAACGAGGGGAGTTCTATAAGCAGAGAAGATTATGCCAAAGGTTTCACGCTTTTCGCTTTCGATCTCACTCCCAATCTATCGGCAAATTGCGCTGGACATTGGAATCTTGTCAGACATGGAAGTTTACGATTAAAGGCGATTTGAAAAAGCTATTACCTCAATGATTAATTGTATCGTTTACGCAGAATTCGATAACGTGTTAGAGATCGATTCCTCGCGTCAAATTATCGTTGATTTTAGCGGATGAGACATACTCGAATTTCCCCTTTCCCACCGTTATTTATTTTTCATTTCTATTTCTTCGAAAGTCTTAAACAAAAAGTTAGCCGCTAGTTTTGCTTTAGACGCGAACGTCGTCACTTCG